TTGTCAAACCCGTTCGATAGTGATTTATCCTTCATCCAAATCGACGACCCATATTGAAAATCGCCAAGATTTTAAACTCTGGTCAAAAGTGATTCCATCATATCCATACATTATACATATTTTTTTCCTTTTTAATATATACATACTCATCTTCTTCAATTTCTTTCACTAAATACTTATTCCTCGTGAGGTCAGGTTAGAGTCTATCCAAACCTTGGAAATTACGCCCCACTTGCCCATTAACGAACTACCAAGAACCCACCCCTATTTTTCCGCAATGAAAGAAAGAGGGTAGGTCTACTTTCCTTGATTTTTTGGGGTATTTGAGCCTTTGACTTAATACCCCACAAAAACCACAACACGTCATGAGTGGACCAAATGCGAATAATTTCTTTGATAGGTTTTTTATTAGCAAATTCATTCTGCATAGTTCCATATCATATTTTATTTAGACTACAGTTGCCGGACCTAGACTGAGTGCCCCATCAAATTTGACAAATACCGTCCAAAATAAGGTGGATCCCATAGGTCAGAGATGTTTAAAAATTACATATGACATGCATGCTAATATATAAAAGGTGCGGTTTGTATAGAGCCTAGGCTCTAAACAATCAAATTAGAGCCTACCTTTAAATAGTATCCAGAATTGTAGTTTCAATACTGGAAAACTTTGTGATAGCCTTAAAGTATATTTTGATTTTTATTTATAAGTTTAAATCTTCAAAAATAGTGTAGATCGAGAGATCTATGAAAACTTGAAAATCATGAAAATTGACGATCCAAAAATACGTTACAAGATGCACTATTTCTAAAACTTGAAATCCATTTTTTTCTCATGTCCATGCATCTTGATGTCGAGATGATCAATTTGAGGATATTTGATCATCTAAACAACCTCTTCTAATGAAATTTTTGAAGTAGGCTTCAATTTGATTGTTTAGAGCCTCGACTCTATATAAACTTTTTTCATATATAAATAGCTAATGTGTAAATATACAATTGTATGTATACAAATATTAAGGGGTCCACCTAGGATTTAGAAATTCAAAGTTTGTAACTTTCTTCTTAAGATCTTCATTATTGCCTCCTTTATTTCCGACCTTATATAAATACCACTTGAGTTTCTTGATCCTTTCAATATGCGACATTTAAAATGTTTTGTGAGTATTCACTCAAAAAAAAAAAAACTTTTGTGAGTAAAATGCATTTTGGCATTGCAAATTTTTTATGGATTTTTGAGTGGAGGAGTGATACACTTCAACAGTATGTTGTTGAGATCATCATCATCAGGGAGGTGCCAAGGAAACCCAAAGTGCGAGCATGGATCACTTCACTGAGCATGGAAAGTAAGGAAATTATTATTTGAAAATGTGGAAGTTGCCAAATGAAAGGATTTGAAATTTAGTATCATTTGTGTAAAATTCTGGTCAAAAAATGGAAAATGTCAAATAGAAGGATTTGAAACTTAGTGGCATGTGGGCAAAATTGTGAAAAATGGCACCAAATTGAATCAAGTATTGAGAAAGAGAAGTGCCAATTATGAAGTTTTATCACAAAAAAAAATGGTAATTATGAAGCTTTTCCCATAACCAATGGAATAAAAAATAAAAAAGATGGTTTGATTCCTTTTTTTATCTCTAATTATAAACTTTTGAAGGGAAAAAATATCTTTATCTCTTATTTTTAACTTTCATATCTCATGAGATCCAAAAATTGAAAATATTACTTATAAACAAAATGTCTTTATTTTTTATATCTTACAATCCCCTGGACCATTTTAGCCATAAATTTTTTACCCAAATAAACAATAAAATGACACCCTATTCAAACTCCATCTCTTTCTCACTAAAACTCCATCTCTCTCTTCGCTTCTCAGTGAATTTACCAGCCAAGGGTTTAGCTTGAGCTCAACACGAGCACACCTTCTTATATGTGAGAGGGAGGCTGGAGTTTTAGAGAGAGAGAGATGGAGTTTGGGTTTAGAG